TGATTTGCCTTTTTAAGGCCTCCCACTAATAATTTTTAACATTTTTAAAGTATTATAAAAAACAAACAACAAAACTGTGCATTTGCATATTCCACATATTTCATATAAGTGGGATCATACAATATTTGTCCTTTTGTGTCTGGCTTATTTCACTTAGCATAATATTTTCAAGGTGCATATGTGTCATGGAATATATATCATTTCTCTTTATAGCTGCCTAACTTTCCGTTGTATGTATATAGCCCTAGTGGCAGAATCTCACCTCCTCTAACTTCACAAGAGGGGAGAAGACTGAAGATCAACACCCTAAGGCAGATTTCTGAAAAGTGAAGTCAGACATACCTCCATCCTCCAACTTTTTTTTTTTTTTTACCAGTTCTGACACCAGCTGTCCCTCCATGATACACTCTACTTCTCTGTTGGTCTCAATAATTCACTACAATGATTTTTTTTTTTTAAGGTCAGAACTTTATTGGAAACAGAGAGGGGTGCAGGAGAGGGCTAAGAATCAGGCTGTGTGGCAGATGGTGGTTTCTCCTCATCAGGAGGACAATCAATGAAGTTGGCCAGCATGGCAGCTGCATCATCCTGCTCCTTTTCCTAGAGAACTGCTGTCTTTGCCTTGGTCTCCATCTCTTCTTCAGCAGATGTCCCTGGTGGGGGTGGTGCCTTGTCACCCCCATCCTCAGTACACTTTTCCAGCAGGGTTGTGGGGGCCGAGGGCTCTTCTTTAATAAGCTCCTGTGGAGGAGGCCTTGCCAGGAACATACACACACACTTTCCTCTTCCCTTTCCACCTCCCACCGGGAAGGGAGTACCTCAGAGGGGGCAGTGTGGGGGCCAATTCAGCCCCAGGCTCCTCCTCTGCCCCAGGCTCTTCCAACAGCCCAGGTTCTGGTTCTGGCTCGGGCTGTGCCTTGGGGGATTCCGAAGGGAACAGAACTGGAGGCAAGGTTGGAGGTGGAGGCTCTTCTTCCATCTCCCCTCCTGCTGAGCCAAATTCTACTTCCTTTACCTCTTCCAATTCTTCTTCATCCTCCTTCTCTTCTTCTTCCTCTAATTCACCCTCCTCCTCCTCCTCAAATTCTTCTTCCTCTTCTTCGAAACAGAACTCACAGGCAATTCTCATGAGCTTAGGGCTGATTAGGGAACAGTTGTTGTGTGCCATTGAGTTGGTTCCGACTCAAGGAGTGGCTAATGGGTTTGAACTGCTGACTGTGTGGTTAGCAGTCCACTGCTTATCCTACAGTGCCACACCAGGGTTCTTTATTAAGGAAGTAACAGGTTACAATTCAGGGTCAGAAACAACTCAGGATACAGTTTTTTGATCAAGACAGTCTCTTCTCAGCCATGCGCAGTAAAAAGTTTTTTCAGTTTCACTAATAAGTGCCCCGATGTGCCCTTTCCACCAGAAAGGCTCTGCCCAAAGGCTCTCAGCTTTCTTGTTCTATGGACTGGGAAGCCCACCACATCGTCTCCCGTCAGTCTGGGTTCTGCTGCCTCTGCTTGCTATTGTTTTATTTCTCACTGCTTCTCAGCTTCAGTCTCTGTTTCCTGAGTCTAGGAGGTTCTCAGCACAGGTATCCTGAGTCCAACAGACAGTCTTAGCTCTTCTTTCTTGGTGGTAGTGAGATTCCCACATCCACCTCTACTACGGCTCATTTTAAGCCTAGGATGGTAAAACTGACCATTCCCCCACCACAAGGGTGCCATGCACCTTATTTGCATTAGTAGTAAGCTATCCAGTCCCATTGGTGGATCATAAGCACCTCATTTTCTTACGTCTACCCAGTCAGTAGTGCTATAGGATAAACACTGGACAGCAGTTCAAACCCACCATCCACTCCTCAGAAACCCTATACAGGGTTGCTATAAGCCAGAACTGACTCTACAGCACTTAACAACAACAAGTAGACTATAGCAAGAAAGATCACATGGGCACACCTCAGCAACATTGTGGGTTCAGTTCCAGACCACAGCGATAAAGCAAGTACCACAATAAAGAGAATCATATAGATTTTTTGGTTTCCCCGTGCATATAAAAGTTATGTTTACACTGTACTCTAGTCTATTAAGGAGCCCTGGTGGCATTGTGGAATAAGCATTGGGCTGCTTACCACAAGACTGGCCATTCGAACCCAGCAACTGCTCCAAGGGAGAAAGATGAGACTGTTTCCGTAAAGACTTACAGTCTTGGAAAACCTGTATAGGGTTGCTTTGAGTCAAAATTGATTCCACAGCAGTGAGTTTGTTTTCTTTTGGTTTGAAAAGTCTAATGAGTGTGTGATAATAGCATTATGAAACAATTTGAAATATTGCGATAATTACCAAATGTGACAGAGACATGAAGTAAGCATATGCTGTTGGAAAAATGACACTCAGGATGGCCACAAACCTTCAATCTGTAGAACATGCAATATCTGCAAAGTGCAATAGCGCAAATCAAAGTAAAACTAGGTGTTTTGTATAAAAATTATCCATCACACCACAATCATGTTTTGTTTATCCATTCAGCTGTTGATGGACACTTAGCTGTTTCCACAGTTTTGGCTATTGTGAATCATGTTGCAATGAACACGATATACATGTGTCTGTTAGCGTCACTGTTTTTCATTCTTTTGGATACATACCTAGGAGTAGAATTGCTGGGTCATATGGTGTGGCACTCTAGGATAAGCACTGGACCACAAAATCAGTTTGAACAGCAAGGTCGGCGGTTCAAACCCATCAGTTGCTCCTCGGAAACCCTATACAAGGTCAGTGTGTGTCGGAACCAACTTGACGGCACTTAACAATAACAATGTTCTGGTGTGGCACTGTAGTATAAGCTCTGGACTATGACCCACAAGGTCCATGATTCACATGTACTAGCTGCTCCTGGCAAACCCTGTATGAGTCAAAACTAATTCAAGGGCACTTAATAGCAGTAGTAATTCTAAGGAGGCTGTTGGTGAAGCATTGGGCTGGTAACCACAAGGTCAAAGATAGGTGGTTCAAACCTGCCAATTGCTACAGGGGAGAAAGACAAGGAGGTCGGCTCTGATTGGGAGTTCTACTCTGCCCTATTGGTTAACTATGAGTTAGAATCATCTCTTTGGCAGTAGGTTTGTTTCCTGAGTTTTTAATGGTAATTCAGTGTTTAACTTTTTGAGGAACCTTCAAACTATCCCCCATAGCTGCCCCATTTTACCTTCTCACTCTTCATATCTTTTTGTTTTCTGCCATATTGTTAAGCATTGTCAAGTCCGTTCCAGTCATAGCAACTCTGTGTAGGGTTTCCATGGAGCAGCTAGTGGAACGCTGTAGGATCAGCACTGGATCAGCAGTTCAGACTTACCAGAGGCTCCTCAGAAACCCTGTACAGGGTCCTTGCTATGAGTCGGAATCCACTTGACAGCACTTAACAATGACAACAAGAAGCTTATCCTATGTCAGCAGTGAGGTTTGTTGTGGTAAGTGTTGTCGAGTGAACTCTAACCCTTAGCAACCCTGCATAGAGTTTCTGAGGAGCAGCTGGTGGGTTTGAGCAACTGACCTTGTGGTTAGCAGTCCAGTGCTTATCCTACAACACCACACCAAGTTTAATTATCACTAAAAGGTGTGGAACTATAGAGTAAGCACTGGACTGCTAACAGGAAGGTCCACGCCTCTGAAACTCTATACAGGATCATGAAGCGTCTGAATCAACTCGATGGCACTTGCAACAATAACAATGACCATAATGGGGATTTACCTAATGGTTGTTAAAGGTCTTTCAAGAAACTAATTTTCCTTACACAGCATTGACGTCTTCGTGTCCTGCTGTAAGAAAAACACTGGGCTGCTGTAAGCTGCAAGGCTGGTGGTTTAAATCCACCAGCCCCTCCATGGAAACACTATACAGGGTCACTAGCAATAGGAATCTACTTGAGGTACGTAAGGACAACCACCAGTACCGATGCAGGACAACACTGGACGGGAGTTCCAGTTCTGACACTGTAGGCCGAGGACCTAGGTGAATCTGCTTTCCCAACAGCATGTACTCCCTGTTTCTGTGTCACATTTGAGTAATTCTCAAAATATTTCAAACTTTTTCAAATGCTATTATTGCACACTTAATAGACTACCAAACAAACAAAAAATAATAAAAGCCAAACCCAATGCCGTGGAATGGATTTCGACTCATATCCCACACTGTAAATCTTTACGGAAACAGACAGCCACATCTTTCTCCAGTTTAGGGCCTGAGTTGGAGCCGTCCACTTTGCAGTTAACAGCCCACTTCCCTTAGCCTCTGTTAACTTCTTACACGCTAGAGAGCCAAGCACAGCATCCATCTCATAGGGTTGCTTGAGGCTGTAAGTTAGCTTACTGTTCAGTAGTGTTGCTTTGATCTCCTGCAAACCAGACTCCTTTGAGGGCAGAGATCTTGTCTTAGTCATTTCGGGGGAGTGCAATGCTCAGAAATGCCAGGCACATAGTAGGTGCTCAGCAAATGAAACAATGAGCCCGATGACTTTGGGCTTCGCGTGGCAAAAGTGAGTCTCCTTTCTAATCCTTCTCCCCACCGAGAGCTCTTTGGGGGTGGGGCCGCAGGAGACCTGTTGCCTTCCCGCCCCCAACCCCACGCTGTGCCAACCACACAGTAGGTGATTGCGCCTGGGAACTTGGCTCTGGCATGGTTGGAGAGAAGTGGTTCGAGACTGCTAATTGGAGTCAGGTTGTACAGGATACTAATTTTACCCTTGGGGTTTAACGCTGTGAGCCGCGGGCTTGGAGTAGCTGGGGTTCTCGCCGGGGTGTCCAAGAGACTAAGCGCAGTGGCTCTAGCTCAGCGCTAGGAGGCTAGAGTTGAGGAGCGGGGGTGGAGTAGCGCAGGAGGGAAGTGAGGGCGGTGCTAGTTTTTCTGTCGGCGGACGAAGAATTGTGAGCTGCGCCTTTAAGGCATCGAGTCGAGTGGGGCCGGGAGCTGAAAGCCGTGGGACACAAGCGCTGCTACCCCGACCCGAGCCGCGGGTTGGGGGCTGGGGGAAGGGTCCGGTGGCTGGACCGAGACGGCTGAGGTCCGTTCAGGTGAGCACTGGCGGACGGTGAATGTGCGCTTAAGACAGATCCTCGGGCTCCCCCAATGGTCCCGTGACCTGTACCCCCCACTTCCCGAGTCTGGGATGCCCGGCCTCCCCGGGAGCAGCGGACCTGGTAAAGGTGGGTCTGAGACCTGCGCCTCACTTTCTACAGCGTCCTCCAGTTCGGTTCCAGACCCTTTGCGCTCTCATCCCATGTCTGAATGAATTTGAGGTATCCCTGTTCTCTCTACTTCCAGGGTCCGGACTGCCTGTATCCCAAATGGGGGAATGGATGAGGATGGGTCGGGGGCCCGCACTCTCTTTTACTTGGTGCCAGTATTAGCCCCTTGGCTCCTTCCAGTGCTTGGGTGGTTTGGAGGTTTTTGCACCCCTTCCCCTCCCTCCCCCCCATTTTCCAGGGAATGGCCACAGCTTGCTCTTCTCCGCTCCCAGGTCATCTCCTGTCTCTCTCCAGACATTTGCACAACCCAAGACCTCTCTCAGCCTATACCCGACCCCAGCGGACTTTCAGCTCCTGTTTTCCCAGCCTGTCCCCATTTCTTTGCCCTGTGCCCTCTCCTCCCTTGCCACCCGCGCGTCAGGATGCTAGTCTAACCACACTGACAGCTGGGTATCCTCGCCTACGCCTGCACGGGCTTCTAGTTTGCTGCTTTGCAAATGCGGATTGTGTAACCAGGGCTGCAGGGGCAGAACACGTGCGAAACTTGCGCCCCTGAACCCGCAGACCAGTAGGGGAGGCCAAGTTGGCGGAGGTGGGGAGGGAGAGAAGGAGAATGTCAGAGGGTGTAAAGGCTGTGCTTCCAGGAGTATGTATTCTCAGCCCATCTCCTGCCCCAGTTTGTTTAAGAGGAGGAAACTGGAAGAGGGTCCGACCCCTTGCTGGGACAGGGAGGCCAGCATTTTGTCTCACCCCTCTCCAACTCGGAGATCCCTAACGCTGGGCTTGGCTGGGTCTGAGATTTAAAATAGTTTATTATCAATAGTAGTTGAGAGAGAACAAGCAGGTGCTGGATCCGACAGGCCCTGCGTTGACCAGTTTAACAAGATTACCTGCCACACTCCTCCCATCATGCCACCTGAGGTACACTGCTGTGCCCATTTCTCCAAGGAAGAGTGAGAGGCTTTCAGAGGTGGTTCCTTTCCAGGATACTTGATTTCACAGATCCCACTGTAAATCATTAGACTTAAAAAAAAAAAAAATCCATTTGTAACTACAAATTCCTAGTAACATCTTTATAATATAAGAAAATAGAAGAGAAATAACCTGTGTTCCTGGCACCAGTTATTTTTTCTAAAATTAGTTTCTTAGAGGAGCGAGGGGTCCATGGTGCGCTCCTCCACGGTACTGAGGCCCAGAGAGAAGGGACTTTCAGGCCACTTAGCTGGAACGTACCAGGTGTGGGATGCAAAACAGGTTGTCAACTGAAATTAGTTACTTCCTGGGCTGCCCCCTGCTGTCCTAGAGCCTCTGCCTGCCTTGCCTTCTGCTGCTTGGCCACTCCCTCCCCTTCCTGCTTTGACGGTTTCCTCCTCTGGAACTGAGCTCTCAGGAGTCTCTGAAGTCTAAATCATATGCATCCCTTAGGGCAACTCTTCTTTCTCCTTTGGTGCTCTCCAGGATTTCTCCCCTGGCCCCAACTGAGAGCTGTTCTTTCTCCCCTGGAATCCCTTAGCTGGGATCCTACTACCTCCCATGCCCTGGCTGGCATCTGGAAAATTCTACTGCAGGTTTTGCCCTCTTTGGTGCAGCTGTGTTGTCAGAATCAGAAGTGCCCCCAAGGCTCCTCTTCCCACTTGCCTTGTCAGCTTTGAGGACACAGAAAAAGGGGTCCATGGGACAAAGGAATGGTTTCTGAAGTAAGAGCAGGCTCAGGATTCTGAACCTTGCAATACCATACTTCCTCAGTTGAGCTTCAGCCTGATTAAGAGAAGACTGATGGAGCCTGGTACATCAAGTCGGTTCCCTCTCATAGTGACCTTGTATAGGGTTTCCAAGCAGCAACTGGTGGGTTCAACCACCCACCTTGCAGTTCAAACTGACCTTGAAGTCCAATGCATTATCCTATAGTGCCACACCAGGTCTCCAGTACCTTACATTAGAATAACACACATATTCTTGTTGTTAACCCAAAGGATTTTCAGTAGGGAAACAGACAAACTTGGGCCCAAATCTTGCTTCTGTTACTTGCTAGCTGTGTGTGGCTTTGAGCAAGTTACCTAACCTCTCAGAGCAGTGTGGAGACAGATGAAAGAAGAATGCACAGTGCCTGCCTCTTGGTAAGCCCTCAGTAATCCCCAGTTAGTGTTTTGAAAGAAAAGTCCGTGGTAGCACAGTGGTTTAAATGTCCAACTGTGAACCAACGGAATGGACTAGCCACTCAGCTCCACCAGAGAAAGACGTAGCTTAGCTTCCATGAAGATTGACAGTGTTGGAAACCCTATGGAGGAGCAGTTTTACTCTGTGCTGTAAGGTTGTGATGAGTCAAAATTGACTCAAAGACAATGGATTTAGGGGTTTGGGGCTGTTTTGTATTATTATGAAACTGAGTGACAGTTGGCTATCACTTTGAATTACTGGAGAAATATTAAATTAGTACTAAATGGCTCACATTGGCTCTGCTTAAAGGTGGGTCACAGGCGTTCTGGCCACGAAGAAGTAAGCAAGCATTTTCTGTGCTCAGAAAGGCCTGTGATGGTTTATTCAACCTAAACTATTCTTTGCTTTTGCAGTAAGAGACAGAGTTGCTGCTGTATTTTACTAGTTTCAGATGCTGGTGAGCATTGAACTCTGAGGACCTGCTCACCTGGGGTGAGTGTGTGAATGTAGTGTGTGCAATTGGAAGTAATTATGAAGCTTAATGACATGAGGAAAAAAGTGTGTTTAGAGGTGACCTTGATTTGTACTATATTTTGGTTCAAGCATGTCTTTTGGGGAGGAGGTTAGAATTAGAGGCTTATCTTTGGATTTGGATGGAAGGATAACAAGGGTAAGTTTTTTTTCTTTTTAAAATCATAGTAGGCTGGTAAGCAATCAACTTTCTTGTGCCATATTCTTTGGAGTCTTGGCGTGGCACTATAGTGCTATACTGGTGTGGCACTGTACTGCTAACTACAGGTCGCCAGTTCAAACCCACCCATTGGTCTGCAGGAGGAAAATGTAGCAGACAGCTTCTGAAAACATACAGCCTTGGAAACACTATGAGACAGTTCTTCAGTGTCCCATAGGAGTTCTTTGAACTGAAATTGACTAAGTGGTGTTTAGTTTGGTTTTGTGGTTTTGTTATGTCATATTCTTTAAGGAGACCTAGTGATGCAATGGTTAAGTGCTCGGCTGATCACTGAAAGTTTGACAGTTTGAATCCACCCACCAGCAGCTCCACCAGAGAAAGCTGTAGCAGTCTGCTCCCATAAAGATTACAGCCTTGGGAAGCATATCGGACAGTTCTTCTGTGCATATAAGGTTGCTATCGGTTGGAGTCAACTGACGGTAATGAGTTTTGCCATGTTCTTTTACCAAATTCCTGGTTGTTTTGGTGACTAGGTCAATTATTACAGTGGTGACTGTTCAAAAGAAAAGAGGGAGTATCTTTAGTTAATAACGTATCAATATTTATTTGTCAATTGAACACATGTACCACACTAACTTTGTTGTTGTTGTTAAGTACCGTTGAGTCGGTTCCTATTCATAGTGACCCTATGTAGGATTTCTGAGGAGTGACTGATGAGCTTGAACTGCCAACTTTGTGGTTCAAGCTGACCTTGCAGTCCAGCACATTAACCTGCAGCATCACACCAGGACTGCTAGTAATTGGGGAAACTGTGTTTGGAGATGGTCTGTATGGGAACTCTATTTTCTGCTTTTTTTCTGTAAACCTTAAAGCTGTCCTAAAAAGTAAAGGATATTAATTTTAAAAGGGAAGGCAGGAGTGGCCACCTCCAAAGATAAGTGTTGGAATATCCCAGGAAGTTAATTCTGCAAGTGGAAAAAGTTTTACTTTAAAATTTCTCTTAAACGAATCATTTGTTGGAGTAATTAAAAATGATTGATTTACATTTATTTTAAGATATCACTTCTTGTCAGTTTCACAGTTGTATGGAATTTAGCAGGCTAAAGGACTTTTCTTTATTTCCGGACTGTGAACCACAGGTTGACAGTTCAAATCCACCAGCTACTCCATGGAAACCCTATGTATAGGGTCTGTATGTGTCAACACTTAACAACAACAAGGGCCATAAGCATATTTCATGTTGTATAATATGACAATAACTAGCTCTATGGGGCTATTTAAATTGAAATGAAATAAATTCAAAATCCTGTTATTTTGTCCCCTATTGTACATCATTATGTTGTATAGAGCAGATAGAGAACATTTCCATTTTCATAGTAAATTCTGTGGGACAGTACCATGTGAGACCAATTAAGCCAAAGCAAAGCTGTTTGATGATGGGGTTAAGTTCTATTCTTCTTGCCAAGTCATCTGCAGACCCAGAAATAAGAGAACGCAGAGAATGGGACGGTTAATAAATCCTCTCAGCCTCCTTTTGGCTGGCTGACTCACTGGCTTTTAACACAGCCTGCTTAAGAGGATGAAATCAAATGAAATGTCTAAGGCTGCACATTAAAACTACCTCGGGAACTTGAAAAAAAAAACAAAACCCATACCTAGGTTCCGCCCCAGACCAACTGAATCTGAGTCTGACTGAGGGCGCATTAATCAGTCATTGTTAAAGTTCCCCAGTAAATGGTAACGTGTAGCCAGGGTTGAGAATAACTGCCTTCAGGATTGTGACTTTTAAAAAAATCATTGAGGTGTGGAAGACTGTTTCAAGGTAGATTTGGTGAGTAGTTATAAACGTTCCTCACAGATTTTCTGTGGTGGTAAGTAGAGGGTTGGAAATGGGTAGGTTCTCTTCCTCTAGAGCTGGGTTCTCTAAAGGAGAGAAAAGAGGGAGAACAATTTTTTTTATTTCTGCAGATTGCTGGCA